AAATGTTAAAGAGCATGTTCTTTGAAAACGCTAAGATCCTCAGTCATGTCCTCTAACAAGAGCTATTCAAACACAGTCAAACGCTAATGTGTGTGTTTATGTGGTGATTCTGCTGAACGCAAGCATGCGGTGTTAATCTGCTGTCATTATGCGAAGCTGCTGAATCATTTCAGCAGCTTCATAATTTCTTATGCGAAGCTGCTGAATCATTTTGCCCGAGGATGAAGTACAGAGGACATCCACACTTACAATGACATCCCATAATACCAGTCACACTGTTTCTGTCCAACACATACACACGGCTGGATACAGAGATAAGTGGTGTTTGCTAAAACATAACCTGTCCCGCACACCACTGGCTCTACAGACATGAATGATCCCTCAAATCATACGTGTTGTTGAGGAGAATGCGCTGTTACTTTACCAAGTAATCAAACGCAGCATTTTCACCTGCTGGACCAGAAAACAGGTGAAGAAATCCCACAGATGACCACTGAAGGAGGAACCTGAGCCATAACAAGAGACCAGAAGATCACAGGGATGCGAGGACTCCATCATACAAGACATATGGCTCAGAACACCCTAGAAACTGCACAGCAACACACTAAAAACACCTAGAACACCCTAGCAACTGCATAGAAATTAACGTCTTAGCAGCCACATAAAAAATGTGCATAAGCACCCCTAACACCCTAGGAATCACATAGCAACACACACACACACACAAAAAAAAACCACCCAGAACACCCTAGCAACTGTATATAAATGAACATCTTAGCAACCACATAAACAATGAGGTTAAACAGTCATAATACCCTAGAAACTGCATAGCAACACACTAAGAAAACACCCAGAACACCCTAGCAGGAGGAACCTGAGCCATAACAAGAGACCAGAAGATCACAGGGATGCGAGGACTCCATCATACAAGACATATGGCTCAGAACACCCTAGAAACTGCACAGCAACACACTAAAAACACCTAGAACACCCTAGCAACTGCATAGAAATTAACGTCTTAGCAACCACATAAAAAATGTGCATAAGCACCCCTAACACCCTAGGAATCACATAGCAACACACACACACACAAAAAAAAAACACCCAGAACACCCTAGCAACTGTATATAGATGAACATCTTAGCAACCACATAAACAATGAGGTTAAACAGTCATAATACCCTAGAAACTGCATAGCAACACACTAAGAAAACACCCAGAACACCCTAGCAACTGTATAGAAATGAACATCTTAGCAACCACATAAACTATGCGGTTAAACAGTCATAGTACCCTAGAAACTGCATAGAAACACACTAAAAACACCCAGAACACCCTAGCAACTGTACAGAAATGAATATCTTAGCAACCACATTAACAATGCGGTTAAACAGTCATAGTGCCCTAGAAACTGCATAACAACACACTAAAAACACCCAGAACACCCTAGCAACTGCATAGCAACACATAAAAACACCCAGAACACCATAGCAACTGTATAAAAATTAACATCTTAGCAACCCCACATAAACGATGCGGTTAAACAGTCATAGTACCCTAGAAACTGCATAGCAACACAAAACACCCAGAACACCCTAGCAACTGTATAGAAATAAATATCTTAGCAACCACATTAACAATGCGGTTAAACAGTCATATTACCCTAGAAACTGCACAGCAATGCACAAAAAACACGCCAGAACACCCTAGCAACTCTATAGAAATGAATATCTTAGCAACCATGTAACAAATGTGTATAAAGACTAACAACACCCTAGGAATTGCATAGCAACACACTAAAAAAACCAGAACACCTTAGCACCTGTATAGAAATTAACATCTTAGCAACCTCATAAAAATGTGCTTAAACAGTCATAACACCCTAGAAACTGCATAGCAACATGTTAAAATAACAATCAGAACATCCTAGCAACTGTATAATATTAATATCTTAGCAACTGCATAGAAAATGTGTTTAAACACTATGACACTCCAGGAACCACATAGCAACAAACTAAAAATCACTCAGTATACCCGAGCAATTGCATAGCAATGCACTAAAAACACACACAGAACATTGCAACAATGCATTACAATACACTACAAACCACACCGAACACCTAGCAACCACAGAACATGCTAAAACACCCTAGCAACTGCATAGAAAACAAGAATTTGACAAAAATTTGACAAACACTAATTGTGACATGAACTACACTCACATTTTCTTCAGAAACATAAAAATCTATTTTGACATGTTTTTTTACGAGAACTTCAAAGATAAAAGACTTGATGTTCAGCCCGAACAAATTAAAATCTTTTAAATTGAATACAACCACAAACACTGACACAACATTTCTAAAAGAATTCAGTGCATAAATCTGTGATCTACTGTAGCTCATTCTCGCTTTTAGCTTTTGTTTTGCAGCATGCCGCTGACGTTAATTTGTCTCTGCTGTAAGTAAGTGTGTTCAGGTATGATGGGATTCCATGGAGATCAGCAGAAAATGCATATATTTTTTTAAAGGAAAATCCAGGTTAAATTAGCTGTTGTGGATTTTCCATCAAAAGTGCTAACATACTAATTAACAAATAGCACGATCACAATTTGATCAAAAATGCCAGTATCATACGCAAATGATTTAAATATGTGACAGAAGCTCCTCCTCCAGAAGTGCCACACGTTATTGTGACTAATCAGACGAAGTGTCTTCAGTTCAGGTCATTACGCTGAACCTACAGAAAGACTCTGTAAGAGTCCTTACTTTTTTTCGAGTTGTATATCATGATTTTGTCATGTATAAATTACAGCAAGCCATTCTCACCTGGGTCTGAAGAGTGTCTTTTGTCCTTTATAGACTCTATGAAAACAAAATAGGCAGCTTGCGGCTTTTAGACCATGTTTATTAGATTTAAGGTGGTTTAAAGAAATTAGCCATTGGCTAAATCTGGCACATTTCTATTGTTGAGATAGATAGATAGATAGATAGATAGATAGATAGATAGATTTGTAAGGTAGTCAACCTAACAATAGCTTACTTATAGTCATCTCACAGTACGAGCACACAGCGTGCAATCCAACACAAATCCTGTGAAGTTGTAGTTTCGGATGGATCGCCCGTCTAAAAGTTATTGGCGAAGTTAAAGATGCCGCTCCCATCAAAGTGATGAAACTGCAGCGGTTTTGCCTTACTGGAGGTCACTCATCGGCATTATGACATCATAAATCTGAGCCGGAGTGAGCGGCTGAGCGTACAGCCTGCTGATGAACTATTGGCAGGCAGCCCATCAATCTGCACACAAATCTCCATGTTTGACTCTTCATATACAAGACCGGCCCCCAGGGGCCCCTCATTCAATCTCACCAATGCTATAGAATCACCTAGAAAAAAATGAGCATGTCACGGAGCTCTTTGGAGGTTAAATCAAATTGGCTTTTGTTGCCTATGTTGCCTACGTGCACGTGGCTGCGGTTAGGGGACGTTCTGTAGATGAATTCATTTATAGTCCACCAGCAGTCATTTATCTTTTCGACAACAAAGTCTGAGTTCGGAGCATCGTAATCACATGGACTCGTCATGGCATGCATGCATAAACCACCACAGATTTGCTGTTTCTAGTCCAAATTTGAGCAGAAAGACTCATCTGACAGGGTGCTAGACAAAGACCTCATTTCGTTACTGATTGAACAAGACTGCCAGAGCACAAACTTGATCTTCCCATTCTGAAGTATATTACGAATGCAGCAGATCAGCACAATCAAGGCCACTGCGCTGTGAAGGTGAACAATAACAAATGGCAAAGGCACAATGCTGGTGTTCAAAGGCGAGCACAGTCTCCACCGCAGCGTGCTGGAAAACAGCAGTTCTCAACTGGTGTGTTGCAAAGCCAAAATGATGGGTCACAGACAGCATGGGGGGGCAAACTGCAAATAATAAAATTCCTCTAAGCATGAAATCATGCATTTTAAGGACTGCACAATAAATTTAAATATCAACTTTTTTTAAGGGAGGAGAAAACCATTCTCATATCTTTAGTTGTTGGTTATAGTAATTATATTAAAAATTAAGTAGCTAATATTAATAAATAGACGGTATAAGAAAATAGGACTTATTTTGAATAATGAAATTACTCATATCTTTAGTTGTTGGTTATAGTAATTATATTAAAAATTAAGTAGCTAATATTAATAAATAGACGGTATAAGAAAATAGGACTCAGCCTATATTACATGAAGTTTAAGTTTAATTATTGCCTTTATAATGATAATAAATATGAAATTATTATAAATATATAATATAAATAAATTGTATATGTATAAACAATATTTAAATTTTTTTATTCATTTATACATTTTAATTAAATACTACACTTCGATAGCCACAAATAATAAATTTCAATGATCATATAAATATATAACTATTTTAAACAATAACTGATTTTAATTAACAATCATTTTGATTAATAAATTTAATTTAATCATAAATAATTAATATATTTAAACTACAAATAATACATTTCAATAATACATTCAATAATTTGTATAATATATATTAATTATTATATATAAATATATATTTATATTGTGTATACATATAATAAATAAACAATATGAATAATATTTTAAATAAATTTAAGCTACAAATAATACATTTCATTAATAGTATATACAATGTTTTTATAATAAATATTTAGAATTATTATAAATACATAAGATTTAAACAATAATCTATTTGAAATAATCATTTTTATTAATTTAACAATAATTTTAAAAACTACAAACACAACAGTTCAGTGTTTTTATAATAAATATATAATGAAAAATTCTAATATAAATCTATAATAAATAACCAATATTTAAAAAATTATGTATTTTAATTAACAATCATTTATGTATGTTAAGTATGTACAGTATGTATGTTCATTCAGCACTATAGCTGTAAAATCTGAGCCCTTTAGCAAAAACCAGTTGAGAACCACTTTAATAAAAGTCTTCTTACCTCAGTCCGGATCTTTACATGCTCAGCATCACGTGAGACGGGACGGACGTTCTGGAGCGCTCCACGAATACAGCGAAATCCTCCCAGCGCTTTGTGTCATTCTGAAAGCAGACGACAGACAGCTCAAATCAGAACCTCCATATTCCTTCACATTCATTTTTAAGCAGCTCAAGAGGATGCAATTAATCTTCACAGATAATTAGCCCGAATATAATACCACAATCAAGAGACTAATGACTGACTAAACGCTCAGTGTTTGCATTGTTAAGTGTTTCACCCACACAAAGCAAAGCTCAATGTGTTTTTTGTGAACAAATGCAAGTAATAGTTACTCTCCTCAAAGACTTGATGATCTATAGCACAAATAATTAGGGTCAGGAGTTTATTCAGATTCTAAATATGAGCAAAAGTGAAGCTATTTCAGATTCAGTCTAAGATAAACCTTCCTAAACCAAACAGGACTGAACAATCTTCCGGACTAAATGTTTGTCTAATAGCGATTCTCCATTCACAATCATTTCAAGGTCTGAGAAACACTCAAATTGAGTTCAGGCAAAGCTTCCCGGGAGTCACCCGAAATTAATTCTGATCCTGTCCTGATTAAATATCCCTAAAACCTTTCCCTCAGGGATATAATTTGGGTTTTATTGTGCCGAGGTCTGAACCAAATGAATTCAGCAGCAGATTCAATAAACAAACTGATACGATCCGCTCGCTCAAATCGAATGTAAGCGAATGGAGAGCCTCGCTGTCCCTGAATACAGCGATTTTAATTCTGGGTTTGATCAATTACTCTTGTCACCAAAAAGAAACAATGCAATAAAGATGGGACCTTTATTTCATAAGCCAGTTGGTTTTGCTCAGAGCTGAATATTTCGCACACAACGGTATTGAAAATGAAAGCCATGCTAGTTTAAGGTGCTCCAATACTTCCAGCACTGCATTCGCCAGCCAAGCAACTGCCATTGAAATAAATGGGAATGCATATGGTTAGCTCTCTCCAGATATATTACAACTCACCGATCACAGTCATTAGGGGATTTGCAATAACAGTAATACAAAGTGCTGCTAAAGGGTGTGGTTAACTCTTAACTTTTATAAAGAATATCTCTTTGGTTTTGAGACTTTAGTGTTTGCAACTTTACAGATCTTCTTTATGCACCAAGAGCTTGTAACACTCCAAAGAGAAAGGAACAATTGAAATCACATCATATGACCCCTTTAATATCATATAGATACTATTTTAGTTTTTATCATTTTTAAATTAGTTTTTATTTTTATATTTTGTGTTTGAATTTGAATTTCATTTAACATTGTAGTCATTTTTGTGTGTGTGTTTTTTTAGTAGTGTCCTTTTTGTCATTATTTATTTTATAATTATTATTTTTGTTTTAGTTTAATTATTGTTTGCTTCTAATTGTTGCCTTGTTTTATTTCAGTTAATGTTTATCTTATTTCAAGTAATTAATTTTTTTTTGTTTTTGTTTTAGTTCATTTAATAGTTCATAACAATTCACTTAAAAATGTTTTTTATTGGTATTATGAAGTATTCTAATTTGTTGAGATAGTGAATTGGTGGGTTTTTGTTAAATGTGAGCCAAAATCATCACAATTAAAAGAAACAAAGACTTAAACTACTTCAGTCTGTGTGCATTGAATTTATTTAATACACGAGTTTCACAATTTGAGTTGAATTACTGAAATAAATGAACTTTTCCACGACATTCTAATTTATTAAGATGCACCTGTATGTTTCATTCATGCAATACCTAAAATAATGAAAATAAACGTTATTGTCTGCCTATTGACAGTCAGTGTTTTGATGCGATTACAAGAAGAAGAAAAAAACACAGTGTTTTTAAAATACAAGACATAATTTAAACTAAAAGAACACTAAAAGACAATAAAAAACAGTCAAAATGCAAAATATTGACTTTTAGGCTAAATGGTAATACCATAATTTATTTTTATATTAAATTAGCATTTAATTGGATTAGTCAACCACCTGAGCTGTAAATAAATTATTAGATAAATGCTACAATTAAATATTTATTAATTTCATATTTTTATAAATTATCTTAATTTTTAATTATCTAACAATAACAGTACACAATATTTTAACAAAACACTGTATTAAAATATGATTTGCAAGCCATAGCAGTGGGCAGGATTCATATATTTTTGTTAGTCTAGTTGCTTTTCTTTATTCTTAGTCTAAACACCTGCTTATATAATTTACTATACGAGTTGCAAAAAAATGCAATAATAAATTACATTTATAATTGGAAATGCATTAAAATGGCACTTAATTGGTCAGTCAATCACCTGAGCTGGAAAGAAAATAAATAAATACATTTTCAGATTTATTATATTTAAATACTATACTTTTAGAGTTTTCTTGGGGGGGAAAAAAAACCTACACAGCTACTGTATCTTTTAATGGCCATCAATGAAGAAGGATGCTTTTAGGCGGCATAAAGGTGTAGTTACAGTATCTAACACCAGGGGTAATCTGTATTTTAACTAGTTGGTGTCTAATGGGAATATATTCTGCAGAGGGATTGAATCCTACACAACAACGTCAGCAAACAGACAGGCTTGTTTTTCCACGTTCACACTGAGACACAACTATGACATCATAGAGAACCATACATCATCATAAGAATGTTCACTGCATTACTGCATTTTAAGAAACAAATATAAGAAATGCAAAATATTCTACAATTCCAGAATGCCTCCGTCAAGGTCCATCAGTCTCGTCTCTAAGAAAGACCCAGTTTGAGGCCCCCTTGTGAAGGACCTCTAAATTATTCATGACCACATTCTCTGCGGGCACTAACGGCAATATGAGCAGAAGAAAACGCTGAAAGGAACTGATGTCACAGGGTCAGGGGCTTATTTTAGCGCCACGCTACGCCGAGTCCTGCTTCGTCAGCAAACACCAACAAATTGGGACAATTTTAGAAATTTTGAAGGTTCTACTTCACTTGCAGCAGAACAGCATAACATTTCTGATAATCATGTTTCATGCTTTGGGATATATAAGACTGCACAATACCTGCAATTTCTTTAAAAATAATGTGTGGTTATTTTCAAAACGGAACACTTACTAGTTACTGTATAATGCGCAGCATATACTGTACAATGCCTTATTTAAAAAAAAAAATTATCAAGAAAAAACTATATTTTATAATTTTTTTAAATAAAAGATTTCATTTTTAAAAAATGATTATATTTTGTCTGTTCAAATAGTTTTAAAATATTTAATAATTATTATACTGTATAATGCGCAGCATATACTGTACAATGCTTTATTTAAAAAAAAAAATTATCAAGAAAAAACTATATTTTATAATTTTTTAAAATAAAAGATTTCATTTTTTAAAAATGATTATATTTTGTCTGTTCAAATAGTTTTAAAATATTTAATAATTATTAATTCTAAAATATTTTATAATTAAAATATTTTTAATTTTTAATTTAAAAATATATTTTTTAAGTGTCACAAAAATCACAGTTATAATTTTAAAATGTAAAATATTTTAGAATTAAAATATTTAATCGTTTTTAATTAAAAAAATATTTAATAAAAACATATTTTATCTATTAGCAGTCTGGTTAAATAATGACTGAAAAAATAGATAAAAATAAAATCACATTTATAATTGGAAAACGCAAGGAAAATTTTGTTTTCATTCCAAATGCAAGGAAAATAAAATTATTTATTTTCAAGTAACAATTTTTTTAATGGATTTAGTTTTAGTTGTAGTTAACTAAAATAACCCTGACATGACCTCACTCTATAGTATTTCAGTTCAGCGACTGGTGTCCATAATCTCACAAAGTTATTTTGCATTTTTAATCCAATTTTGGGTAAAAGCTCTTAACTCTTTTAAATCAGATCAAATAATTGCTGTAAATATTTCCTCCGGTTCATTAAAAAATAATATACTGCAACCACGGTCATTCCTATCTGGATGAGATTAGATTTCTCAAAGAGCAGAAAACTGGTAATTTGCACTTTCACAGAGATTGCGTGAGAAAAACACAAAAAAAGTGTTTGATTCAGATGAGAATTAAATCACAAAGTGCATCTGTGAAAATCAAATTTGTCCGAGAAAAATCAGTCTCATGTGAATAAGGCTCATGAGCAGATGACAAATCAAAAGCATCCAATCTCAGCGCCAGTCAAAACACACATTACCAAACACACTCCGAATCACATTCACTAAAGACAAAAGACATCAATATTCTGTCTGTCTTGAGGCACATTATTTGCGACAAGCTGTGTTTTGCTCCGAACGAAAATCGCACCATCTGGGAATAAATGTGGGAATATATTTTCACCATTTCCACTGATATTCATTCGTTTGCTGTCATGAATTGGGTGACTGGCCCATGGCACCTTACAGCTGTCTAATTCACACTCGCCCACACATGAAAGTTTGTCGTGTAGGTGTTCTCTACCTGGAAGACCCACTCAAGGCACCAAACTAGACTATAACAAGCCAGATTGACACCTGATTTACTCACTAACCCACACACACACACGCTCACACAGATACTGCAGCAGTGGGTGGAGTTTGAAGGGTTGTCAAATGAAATCTTTATGGGGTAAATGGCCAAATATCCCTCCTGCCTTCCCCATTTAGAGATTCCTCTGCTCTCCAGCAAAATCCCATTTCCAGTCTGTCATTCTTGAAGCCACCCGTGATGATTGCAGAAGTTCAGTTTATTTAGAGTCGTGAAAGAAGCGCAGAATCTCAGCATCGGGTTCATCCAGGAGCTAATGGCAACTTAGCGCCCTGCTCTCCAGAAATTCATTCATAACGCTTTGACGTCTGTGGAAGAGGCATAATAACTCGCACCATACGATGCAGAAGTGGCCGTATTCATCTCTTGCAGCAGGCAAATGGTTCTCTGACACGCAGGACAGATAAATCACAAATGAGATCTCTTTATTATCTCAGTAGCGTCTCTTAAATGTCAATGAGGTTAAATGGAGAGTAAAAGACATCTGAAGTACAGAAAGACTAAGAAAAGATTCAAATTAAAACAGTAATCAGAGGAATTCTCAATAATGTCTCAAACTGTGCTCAGA